ATGATACTAAACCACATCAAAGAGAGGGACTGTTAAAAAATAAAAAGGACACTTAAAATAACTTATAAAAAGTGTGTATGATAATATTTAGTATATTTTTGCCTGAGTTTACCAATGATGCAATTTGTTTGTTGTGTATACTTTTTTGAACATTTTTCAAGTAAAGAATTTCAGCTATAGTTCTATTGTAGAAAATGGAATCTAGATGGGCTCCAGAGACCATCAGGTCACAGTTATAGTACATAGAGACTCCTGGATCCCTGGTACCCAAAAGGGATGTTTATGAAAATACATTTTTGCACAGGGACTGTTACCTATGCACAGATGTATGTGTGTATCAGAACAGAATACGCACTTTGGGGAAGTTAAATAAATACTGCCTGAAAAAGTAGACTCAAGTATAGTTATAAATCTCGGAAAGAAACAGCTCTAATTTATTGCCCATGTGGAAGAAATTCTGGGTGTACTCTTTCTGGATGTACTTTCCTCTTCACTGTTACAACCATGGCACAGAGGGGTAATTATCAGTTTGTGATTTCTACCGTGAAAGGACCAAAGTGACCTCATTGGAAATGTTTCCCAGAGACTCTCCTTTGCTTTCTAAAATAATATAATTGGATGTGAAAGAAATGGCTGGCACATTTTAAAACACGTATATTGCATATGATGGCAAACTTGGAAAAACCAGAAGTGCCTAAATGCTATGATTGTGTCAGCAAAGGGGGCATAGGCTCTTGTGTTTGGGGGAACATATTAAGTTACATAATCTTTTAAAAATATAATAAAAAGTGTTCCAAAGGTTCCTAAAACAATTCCATATTAATCTAACTTTTGGTAAATAAAACTCCAAGGAAAACTTCCTTCCAATTGTGAATGTGTCACAGTGAAAATCTATTGACATGGAATGAAGATGAAATAAGTAATATTTTCCCTTAAATAAGAAAGAATTATGGTTATGATCCACTAATCAAAAACAATGACATGATTTAAAATCTATAGTAATTTTTATGAGTGAGCTAATTAACTTTGATGGATAATTATCAAAATAAATAAAGGTTATAAACTGTGCTACATAATGTGGGATACTTTAATTCACTATGATTAAGACAGGACAAAACAGCAGATTCTAAAATGATTTGATAAAGATATTGAACACTGAAAAATCAATTATGATGTTCTGTTAAATAATGTCCATTTAATAAATGCCATAAGGTTTATTAAATTTAGTCTTTAGTTTTTCATAATGTCTGAAGATATAAATTCAACTAAGTAAACCCTAACCATAAAAGAGAAGCACTTTAAAGTGCTTTGTGGGCCAATTTGGCATGATAAATAATCAAAGCTTATCCCATCTCACAGAATTTGTGAGTTAAAGTTATTCCTTTCTGACCCTAGTTCATTCTGACGTATTATCATTCTTACTATTCAAACATGATCTTGTAGGAAAAAAAAATGAGTCATAGGACAGCTTCACATAAAAAAAAAAAGCATATTATAGAGCATAGTCATGTACCCTTTTTACTGTGCTTTTAAGGTCATTAAATGAGATAGTGCTCCACTGGTGCATGACACAGCAGAGTCTAATATTTGGCTACTTGAGCATTTCCTTGATATTTTTCGCCAATATTGGGCAGTGCTCAATCAGAGAAACTGAATTATATATTTTTAATATACATGAATGAAAACTCTTCTTTTTCAAAGCAGTGAGAAGGTGAGAATAAACTGTGAGAATACATTATCAAGGTGGATTTGTAGAAAGCGTAGTTGGTGTTTATGTTTTTAGGATTATGGTTTTATCTATAGAAGATATTTCTTTTTTATTTACAGTTATATTATAAAATTTTAAGGAAGACTGTAAAAGAGAATATTGTCACTAGCGTACCAATTTCTTCCTAAGTGTGCCTGAGGAAGGCAGGTTTTATCAGATATCTGAAATGTTACAATATAAAAACAATCACTTTTCCCATTTCAGAGTACTACTGATGACAAAATTTCTCTTAAATATATTTTTCCTGTAAATATTGATCTAAACAACTCATCTCCCCTATATGAATTTCTCATCTTTGTTACCTACTAGTGGCAAGAACTCGAGAAAATCATTTCACTTCAGGGCCTCAGTTTGGAAAACATGTACAGTGTCCATTAGTGTTTTTCAAAATATAGGTCATTACTCCATTAGTGGGTCACACACGAGAATAAATGGAATTGACTCAATTTGAATAGAGAATGTAGAGGATAAGATGCATTGTAAGGCTAGTAAATATTTTTTTAGTTTTAAATATATGTATGCATATTGTGTGATAATATAAATAAAATGTATTCCTTAATATGATTGCAAGCAAAAAACTTTAAAAAATATTGTTCTAAAGAACCATAAGTACCTTTTAAGTCTAGAATAAAATTGTTCTAGATTCTAGCTCAAAAGTTCTAAAAGTGACCTTTTTAAACTTAGTATCAGATATGGTTTATTGCCTGATAGACAATAGTTGCTAGCTACAATGGCATTTTGTTAAAGTGACTAGAAAATATTTACTCCCTCAATTATTTGTAACTGTTAATATCCATTATAAGTTTTTTAAAGATACCTTCTTGGGCTTTCACACCCTCAAAAAATCCAATAAAATGTTGGGATTCAACAATTTAATACAAATATTTACATGTGTATGCCACAAATACATATGTCATATACAGTGGTAAGGACCTGGGTGATACAAAATGAATTGGCATGGTCTGGTCCTTGCACTCATTATGATTTTTAGGAAAGCATTCAATACAAAAAGAAAACATCCAATCCATAACCAAACAGTAGATTTATGTGTACTACTATGAAACATTACCCTAATAATCACTATTATGAGTTGTCATTTTTTGAGTATTTAATTCATTTATTCATTAAACAAACATTTACTGTGTGCCAGGTGTTTTTCTAGGTTGGATCTTCTAAGGTTAAAATGACAAAATACATACTCTCGTTTATAAAAAATGGAAAATACAGAAAATAATAAAAAATATATCACAGCGATGTGTCATAATAACAGGCATTAACTAGGGCTACGTTTTATTGGATAGTCAAAGTAGTCCTCTGAGTAGATACATTTAAACTTGAAATATGAATGGCAAAAAGAAGATAGCCACTTAATCTGGAGTGGAGCATTCCAGGAAAAGGGAACAGTTGGGCAAATGTCAGACCCAATGTAGGTAGGAGTTTGGCATGTGTGAAGTAGGTGAGAGTGGCTGAGATCTAGTGGAGAGAGAATGGTAAGAGATGAAGTAAGAAATGTAGGAGGGAGCCAGACTCAGTGAAACCATGGTAAAGTGTTTAGAATACATTTTATTGCCAGGGGAGCCATCTGAGAACTGTAAACAAAAGACTTCTGTGATCGAATTTCTTTTTTTCTTTTTTAAGACCAGTAGGGCTGCTGTATAGAAAATAGATTGTACACAGCAAAAATGAAACTATGGAGGTTAGGAGGCTACTACAGTTATTCAGGTGAGAGTTGGCTGTGGTTTAAAGAAGTAGCAATGGAGATTAAAGCAAAGATGGATTTGGGGGAATGTTTTGGAAGTACAATGGAGAATTTCTTGACAACACTAGATACAAAGTGGTTGGCAAGGAAAGGAATCGAGGATACTTCCCAGAATTTCAGTTTGTGCAAATAGACGGTTTCATCAACTGTGATGGAGAAGAGCAACTTGGGGTGCTTGGTGGCAGAAGTCCAGAGTTCTGTTTGGGATATACTAACTTTGAGAGACATATTTGTTACTTCAGTGAATTTGTCAAGAAAGCAGAACTCGGTTTCAGGGGAGAAATAAGGACTGCTGGATTTAGGAATGTGGGAATTATCAGTTTACAAATAGTATTTACAGCCACAGAACCTGTACTTTCATGAGTGTCATTCAGTAATTCTTTTAATTTTGATAACGTCAAGGTAGTTTCAGATATAATTAGCTTCTGACCCTAGTTCATTCTGATGTATTATCATTCTTACTTACCATTGGCAGTTCTTTTTTTTTTTTCTTTTTAACTTTACTCCCCTAGCTTGTGAGATATAACTTTTCTTTCTCATACGTTGATTGCTTGTTTTCGCTGACCCTTAACTATGTCTGTTATGCAGGAATTTTTAGCCTTCTTTTCTCACTTTACCTATTCTCCTTTTAGAACTCCATGTTCTCATTGCTTCGAATACTAAATAGATGCTTATGACCCTCATATTTTTTGCTTTCACTCCTGACATTTTTCTCTGGCTCTTGGAGACTAGGGCCAAACGTTCTTGAAATCAATTAGCCTGGTGAGAAAGGGTGGGGAAGGAGGCTCCCTGTGAGGTTAAGAGGAGGTGCAGAGTGAAGGGACTGTGGTAATCCATCTCATTCGTACATTTACTCAGTATTTCATTTATTCACTTACTTATGAGCACTTGCCTATCGGCTGCTCGTATGGAATTTCAAATCTAGAGCGGCAGTCAAACAGATCCAGGAGGAGTGTTAACTAAGGATATGGGTTGGGACGAAGACATTTATTTATGACATAAAGAAATGAAACTCTCGGCCACTGGAACATAATATGCAAAGCCTGAATCCCACTTAGTCCCTCAAAGGGATTTAATGAAAAATTTGGAACGTGTCAGTTTAGTTGAATATTAAAAAAGAAATGGAAAGCTAATCTCATTAAGGAAGGAGTGGGGAACAAGCAAGTGCTTCAGCAAGAACGCTGCGCCGCAGCAGACCACGACGAGAAAGAACTGACTAGTGGGTGCTGAGAAAAAAGAAAACCAGGAATGGCGTACAGTAAAATCCCAGCACTTGTTAAAAACCCGTGGTAAAACACACCTCACCCCAAACAAGCTTGGCTGCGGGACAAGCCCCCAGGGCGTCTTCGGCATCCGGGAACACCGCACGCAGCCCGCCGGTCAGCTGGCCCCGCCTCCGACTCCAACAGCCGGGCCTCAGAACCGCGTACACGTGCGCGGCGAATCCCGCCCCCTCCGCTTTCTCGGCCAATGAGAAGTGGAGTCGTAATTCGCCAACGCCGGTCTCAGGTCACGTGATCGTATCTCTCCGCCCCCTCATTCAGCTGCCTCTAGCTTTTGAGAAGATGGCGAAGGTCTCAGAGCTTTACGACGTCACTTGGGAAGGTAACTACGGGCGGGGCGGGCGTGGAAAGACCAAAAGAAATGGTAAACGATTCGGGATACTTACTGCTCTTGGAGACCTGCTCTGGTCTCTCTTCGGCACTAGAGCACTCACTGGACTGGGTGAACTGAGGTGGTGATTGAGGTGCAGGTAGAGGCTGACCTCTGTTCCTTGGCCCCGACACCGACTGTAGTCTGTGGTGTTCCCTACCGCTTGTGCTCGTGGATAGACTGACCGACCTACCTCCGCGTTAATCCTACGGCCCAGGGCAGCTTCAATGACGAGGCGGGAGGGACCTGGGGCGGCGCGGAGGAGGCGGGATAGGTCTGGTTGAAGCTTCTTTGCGGCCAAGAAATACAGGACCTGTAAGGCTTTTATTAAGTGCTGTGTAAGGGTTACAACTGTCCAGAAAAAATACACGTGTAGGAGACCCATGAACAAATCTTTCTCCTGCATGCCACTTTACATTTCGATCCCGCTTCAAAACTGGGTTTCTGATTTCTTCTTTTTTAAATTACTCCCTGTCTCATTCTCCCCTCAAAACACATCTACACACACAACACAACTTCCTTTTCACTCCCTACTAGTAATTCCTTTTCTGAAGGTGAAAATTACTGGTTATCTTGGGCATGTGCGCAAGTATGGTGGATCTCTTTCCCCATCCTAGTTTAATGTAAGATAGAGTGTGTTCTTTAAACCTGGAAGCAGCCAGACGTTGGCCCAATTTTGTAAGAGGTATTTTCTTTTCTAAAAAACTTTAGGGGGAGACATGCGTGAGAGACGAGCCTTGAGTTTCTCTAATGCATGAAATTTCTTTAATTGGAATTTATATTCCCAGCATTCAATAGCAGACTGCAATAGCTTATTTGTTGAAGGAATTCCTTCAGATGTTTACACAATGGCCTGATAACCTGTGGACTGAAAGTTATATTTATGGATGTTGAGTAAATTTCTCCAGTGTTACAAAGTTGCAAACATGTATGGGAAAGGTAAAATTCCATTGTACTTGAACTGAATTCAATGGTTTATTATTGAATTACAGCACACTGTAAACTTCAGTGTTTCTATCTGTATTGGAGGATTCCATTATGTTAAATGTATTAAGTGCTTAGTGCTAGATTTTGGATGTATCAAATTAAGTAACACACAGTCTCTACCTTTAAGGAATTCACAGTCTAATGGAGAAGACAGAACTGTAAATGCATAGTTTTAAAAGGCTTGCCAGGATATAGTCCCTTAAACTGGATGGTAGATACGTGGCTGTTATTTTTAATGCTTTTTAAAAATGTTTCAAATATTTCATGCTTTTTAGGAACATTTTAAAGGGATGTTGAGTATAGGTTTCTTAGATGATGATATCATGTATAAAATCTTAAAGAACGAGTAGGTGTGTAACTACCAGCAGACAAGGCGGATTAACTAAGTTGGACCTTATTCTGTAGACATTCTAAAGAATAGTGATGTAATTAGGTTTAGAATAATGACTACTTCACAAGTTGTTGAGGAACGAAAGAGAAAACATGTTAAAGTGCTTTTAAATTAAGTATTGTATAAAAAGATGATCTGGTTACTTACTGCCTGTGTCTCTAGCTTTGTCTTAAACTATTGTCTGCTTCACTATGAGCTGGCAATGTTGGCTTTTGTTGAATTCCATAAGTGTGCCATACTTTTCTTGTATTAGGGCTGAACGCATGCTATTTGTCCTAGGAATGTTCTTCTCTCCTTGTGCCACTCTTGCTCCCATTATACTTTGTCATTTCTCAGAATTCCCCTGAAAGGTCATGTATTTCAGAGAACTTTCCTTGACTACCCTACCCCAAAGCCCTTCCCCATCCCTGCACTAAAATTTGAAGGAAAAAAAAAAAGAGAGAATAGTGAAAACAAGCAACCAACCTACTCCTGATCCTTTAACTATGTGTTTCCATACTCTTGAAGCACTTACCCGATTATGTTAAATTTTAAAATTCTGCCTCTTAGAATGAAGGTCTGTCTTCTAGTGCCTGGCATAAGAGAGGAACTCAGTAATTATTTGCTAGCTAAATGAATTGTTAATGAGATTAACAATAGACATTAACAGATTGTTATAAAAAAGACTAAGTCATTTGTCTAGTGTTGGAATAATTAATATCTTAGACATAGGCAACTACTAGGATATAGTTTTCTCATTTGTAAAAGGATTTAGACCTTTCCAGAATTAAAATTCTATTTTAGGGAACCTTTAAGAAAAGAGTATTGTAGATTTTTCTTTCAGACACTTTTAGTAATAGATTTTTAGGATGTAAGTGGGTGATAGGACTACAGGGATAATTTTTTTAGGAGGAAGCGTCATAGATCCTTAAAAATTCCATTGAACAGCATCATTAATTAAAGTGTGGAAATGGTCAGTTCAAAGACTACTGTAATTCTTGTGATAGGAAAAGTGATCATATGTCTTTAAAAGACCTATATAGTACATCTAATATCCTCCTTGTCTCTGTTGGGTTCTATAAAAAAAGTAGAATATACAGTTTGTTTATTCAGTCAGTTTGAAGTTATTGAGGTTTATTATATAGGGAGTTATTACAGGTTTGGTGGCGAGAAAGAGTTTTAAGGAAGATGTAGTCAAGTTTCTTGAGAACAAGGTATTTGGGCTGAATATGGATAGAGTATCTAGCATAATGACTGGCATATAGTAGGCACTACATGAAAATTTGTTGAGAAAAATACATGTTTTACATACACATTCAATTTTGCAAATAATTTCAGAGCATTCACAGACCACTTAATGCTTATGCCTGTGTCAATAAGGAGTCTATTGATCTGAGGTTTAATAACCACTGATAATAAATGAAGATGAAGGCTAAGGGAAGAAGCTTTGGGACACCAAAAATTAAGGAGCAAATGAATGTAGAGAACTCAGCAAAGGAACGGTTTGAAAAGTAAGAGGGGAACCTTAAGAAACCAAGGAAAGAATTTTCATAGGAGTGATCTATAATGACAAATAGTGTGGATGTACAAAGCACGTATATACGTTAGACCTGGCAGTAAGTCTCCCAAGAAACCTTACTGGAATAATAGGGCATGGAAACTAAATTGTGGTTTGAAGGACTGAATGAAAAGAGAGGAAGGACTGAATGAAAAGAGATAGCATAAACAACTAAGATTCCTTCATTTTTAATACATATTTTTTTCAACAAATATCCATTAGAATTTCTAGAGTGATAAGGGTATCTTTTTGTATTCTATTGAGATGACTGGTAGCTGGATAGCTTCAGAATGGGGCCTGGTCACCAGAAAGATCAAGGCATGATTAAGGGTTTGAACTTTGAACTTTCAGTCCTACCTCTTGACTCCTTTGGAGGGGAGAGGACCTGGACATTGAGTTAGTTCACCAACAATTTAATCATTCCTACAGAATAAAGCTTCCATAAAACCTCCAAAATATCAGAGTCAGAGAGCTTCTAGGGATGGTGAACATATCAAGGTGCTGGGAGGGTGGCATGCCCAGAAAGGGCATGGAAGCACCTCTGTTCCCCCTCTTCTGTTTGGCTGTTCTTGAGTTCTGTCTTTCATAATAAACCAATAATAATAAGTAAAGCATTTTCCTGAGTTCTGTGAGCCATTATAGCTAGCATAGAACCTGCTGGAAGGGATTGTGGTAACCTCCAACTTTATAGCCAGTTGGTCAGAATAGAGATGGCCCTGACTTGTGATTGGTGTCTGAAGTGGGGACAATGGTGGGACTGAGCCCTTAACCTGTGGGGCCTGAAACTAACTCTTTGTAGTTGTTGGTGCCAAAATCGAACTGAATTATTAGACACCAAGTTAGTGTTTAGAGCGTTGGAGAATTGATTGGTTTGGGGAAAACTACCCCCAAAACATTTGGTGTCAAAAGTGTTCTTTGGGTAGAAACAGATCTTAACTGTGTATGAAAATACAGATTAGATAAAGACACTAGGATTTACACAGTAAATCCAGCAGCTTTCTTGATAGTATATTGCTACATTGTTTTAATCCTACTTGGCTAACCTCATTTTTAAGAGAATATTTTTAGACAGATATCCATCATTGGATTGAAATACAATAGCACCATTTTTTTTTCTCTGAGTTCTGTTAAGTGAATAAATTTTGTTGGTTTTTTTCCAACAATAGTTTTATATCAGTGATTAAATGAGTGACTGTTGCTGTTACATTCTTTAGTGGTTAAAGCTTTAGGCAAGCTATAAAATTTGATGAGTTAATGGGATAAAGTTTGGAGATGTATGGGCTTTGTGTGTGTGTGTGTGTATGTGTATGTTAAGCTGCCATTGTCTGAAAATCATTTGCATTTACTAATGCTTTTGCAGTCTAACTTTATTTCTTGGGTTCTTTATGTCAGGAACCATGTGTTTTTAACCAGGCACAGGAAATATATCTCCATGGTGGTTTTGGTTGATTTTCAGATTATAAAATATTATACAATAACAGTTTTATGAGAGATTTGAGATCATTTACAGCAAACATAAGCTTTGTATTTTAAACCCGTTTAGTTAATAAACTTCTGTGTCAGGATTTCAAGGAAATTATGTTGCTACTCAACTTAAATATTTTTTGAACCTCCTAGTGTTTTATTTGGTAAAAGATAAATGATTTTCTTCCATCTCTATTTTAAAGGACTTCTGCTCCTCTCTCTCTTTTTTTTCTTTCCTCTCTCTTTTTCTCTCTCCCTCCCTCTCTTCTTCCGTCCCTTCGCTCTCCTTCCCTTCTCTTCCTTTCCCTCTTTCATTCTAAGTATCTTTTTATTATAAAATGGAGAGAAATTTGCATAAAACAAATTTATAGTTGAATTATTTTTTAAAAAATGAAAACCCTCAAAACTACCACCCAGGTCAAGAAATAGAACTTTGCCATCTCTCCCAGAAGTAGTTTTCATGTGCTCCATTCCTGTCACAACTCCTCTCATCAGTAACCATTATCCTGACTTTTCTAGTTTAATATCGCCTTGCATTTTAAAATAATTTTGTTCTCTAAATATGTATCCCTAGACACTATACTTTAGTCTTGACAATTTTTATAAAGTTTGATATATTTTAAAAGTCTCTTGATCTTTAGGTTTCCATTCTATCTATTTTTTTCCCTTAAAATTTATCTGTTGAAGAACTTGGGCCATTTTCTGACATGCAGATTTGGTCATGCTGCTTTCCTTTTGCTTAATATTTTTAGTTGTTCTTCTGCACCTTCAAAAATAAACTACTTCTTTAGTGTGAAATATAAGGCCTTTTAGAAACTTAATCTTTTTACTTCCTACCCACTTATCATCTGATCCTAGAGTTCTTTCTTTGTGGAATAACCTACTTTTTTGTTTGCTTACTGAATTCCTCTTCAGCCTTTCAGATTCAGTTCAAGGTTACTTCCTGTGCAGAGTGAGAGTCAAGCTGATTTCTAGTTTTAAGTATATTACTTTGTAATGATCTTCTAAGACCATTTTTGTAAATGCAGTTAGGTTCTATTTTTCTTTGATGATTGATGATTTTCGAACTGTAGAGATTCAGATAATGCATATAAAAGTAGTGAAAATTCATGTGCTTCTCTTATATTTATTCTCTAGGGACCTAGCGTATTGTTTATTTAACTCATCTGTTCAATGAGTAATTCATCTTATAAGATCTCTTCAATATCTCTGTCTATAGAAAAAAGATGGTACTTCAGATGAATCTGTAAAATTTTCAAGGTAGAAGTCAGAAAATATGTATGTGATCTGCAAATTGGGCACTTAATTCTACTTTAGCTATATAAAAAAAGTGATATTTTAATTGCTGGATTAGGTACCATTTTTTTTTCTTTGTTATTATTTCTGTTATCAAAATACTGTTCTTGAAAACCTGAATTTCTGTTGTGTTAACAATATGCAAAGTTGTTCTCTTGACTTTTATTTGCTAGTGCCTTTGACTTCACATGTATTCATTTTATTCCTAATTGTAAATATAATTAAAATAATTCTTTGTTCTAATTTTTTGTTATTTATTTTCTTGTGTAGTTGTTTATCTTTATACATTTTATGTACTGTTGTAGTAATGTTACTAAGGAAGTTTTGTGATGACTATCTCTTCAGTGCTTATAGCCTAGTATGATACTCTGATTAATAAAATTATATATTCTTGAGTCAATGTGTGAACTTCAGGAGCACCTTGAACTTTTTAAGATTTTTATATATAATTTTATATGTTTTTCTGGAAATATAACCCCTACTTATTGTCAAATTCTAAACATTGTCTGTAACTTCAAAAAGGTTAATATCCACAGTTGCATAAAAGGGATAGTGAGTCTTTGTAATGGATCCATTTCATTTATGACTTTTAAAGATAGTTGTAATATCATTAATATTCAAAGGATCTATTGCTCTTATTAAGTTGATTTTTCTGCTTTATGAACTTTGAGATACCATAGATTTATATTAGTGTGCATTTACTAATATAATGTGAATTAGTGTGAATTTACTTTCTTTACTAAAAAAACTGATTTTTTTCTTGTCAGTTTTTTGACATTGATCAAATACATATAATAAGTTTATTCTTTTCAGAAATGCGAGATAAAATGAGAAAATGGAGAGAAGAAAACTCACGAAATAGTGAGCAAATTGTGGAAGTTGGAGAGGAATTAATTAATGAATATGCTTCTAAGCTTGGAGATGATAGTAAGTTCTTTAATTTATCATATCTTTGCTCAGCACATGTCCATTTACAATTCTTAACTTTTTAAGTAATTTTTCATATTTATTATGGTGACATTGATGAACAAAATTCACTAAGTTTCCTCTTAGTTTTTTAAAAAAACATTTTTTATTATGTTTTTTTTTGCTGTTCATGTCAAGCTATCCGTGACTTGTTACTTTTGATAAAACTTAGAAAGTCTAATGATACTTTATTTTGGGAAGTATTTATAATTGCTGTTAGAACTCACAAGGCTGCAGTCCTGGTCTGGTCAAAATGCATTTCATAAAGAACCTTTTAGAACAGTAAAGATATTAAATAATTGGAGATTTTTTTGACTTGATAAGATATTAAAATATTTTACATTGCTGAAAGCATATGAGGATGATTCTTAATTGCAGATATAATACAGTAAATCTATTCAGTTATAGGTACTATTATCTAAAATATCAGAAACATGAAGAAATTATTATCTAGTTTCTGTTGGGAGATTTTTAAAATTAAATTCAGCTTTTTTTCTCTAGTTTGGATTATATATGAACAGGTGATGATTGCAGCCCTTGACTATGGTCGGGATGACTTGGCATCGGTAGGTATTTAAACTAATTATATTTTATTTTTTATTTCATATGCTTCATGAATTGTAAGCGGTTAAGACTTGGTTTATGGCTTGTATAGAATGTTTTCTGTAGCTGTTTTTCAATGCTACTCAAGAGGAGGTGGGACTAACTAGGTACTTGGGAACACAGTGTGTTCTTAAATTTTTTTAAGTCTTGAGAAGTAGATGTTTAGTATCCCAATGTTACTGAAGAGGTTAAATTAATTGGTGAAGATTATCTGCTTACTAGGTGAATTATAGCATTTACAATAAGAAGCAGATAGTTTAAAACAACTTTATTTTTTGGGTTGTTTAGTGACTTTCATAGTATATATTGTTAAATTTTGTTTTGCGGTATTATAAATGTATATCTTAAATTATTAGAAAATCCTAACATATACAGGACATGACGTAAAATATTAATACTGCTTTTAAAACAGAAGAAAATAGCTATATTTTGAACACTCATCTGCTAGGCACTATGCAAAATGCTTTACATAGTGCTTAATCTTCACAATTATTTTTTTGCTTTGATATTATCATCATATTCATTTATAAGTCAGGAAGCAGCAGTTTCTGTTCTTTTGTTATTATAATTCTTATTTCCTAAGTACTGCTTCATGCTGCTTCCTCATTTAAGCCAAAAAGAGTTACACAAAAACAAAGGTGAAATACCAGGAGAACATAAGCATGTCTGAATTAGTATTATCCTTTTCAAGGTAATTAATGTTAGGGTGGCTACATACATAATTTCAGTGGAGCTGCCAGTGGTACAAAATATTCCACAAAACTTTTTTGGATTACTTTTAAAACTTATGACACACAGCCTTTTGAATATCCACATAGGTCGCAGCTTATATCTGCAGGGAAATTTTGATTTTTTTTTTTTTAAATAGCCATATGTAATTTGATAAAGTAGGAGATAAAAATTAGATAATATTGATAAAACAGGAGATATATAGATAATTCTTTGTAACAGTATTTTTTAATGGTTCAGAATTTCTACACAGTTAGCTTGATTGACTCACTTAGTAGTATGAGTTTTGCATGATGTCAAATAAATGAACATCATCTTCAGTTTTGACTAACTTAAATATTTTTCTTAGTATGGCACATTTTCAGCCATTGACTTTGAAGCTATTCTTCCAGATCATATTAGAACTTATTTTATTACTGCTTAATAGTTTCTTTACTAGTTAAAGGCATTTTTTTGTTAATTACTCTTTGGGACACTATAAGGGACCGTTTTTATAATCCTTACCATTTCTAGCATGTTCGAGACTCGTATAATCCCTCATATGTTGCTGAGAACATAGTAGGTGCTCAATAGATATGATTATTTATTTAGTTGAGTTGATAGGTGAATTATAGATATCTGCCCAAAGGAGATTGATACTTCATAGATATGGAGGTTGTATTTTATGACCCCAGATCAGGATATGTATACTGACAGGACAATTAATACATGATTTCAACAGAGAAAAATTAAAAAGAGTGTTAGTACTGTTTGCTAGGGTCTTGAGAGTACTATCAAAGAACTTAATTTTTATTAAGAGAATGCTTGTGTAAAAGGAAGAAAAGACCAGGAAACCACTGGAGGCATTTAAGTGGAGCCCGACACATTATGTAAGCAATTTTTAAGGAGTAAATGGTAGTAGTATTTGCAGAATTATTAGTAGATGTCATGATATGCTCATTTTCCCAGTTAACAATATGATCAGTGTCTGAGAACTGATTGTTGCTTTTATTTGTAATTTCAGAGTTTTTCTTTCACCCCGTTATTTCTTACTGATGAATTTTACTTCATGTCATTAAATCATGCTAAGGAAATTATTTTAGAAGATACATTGAAGGCTTATATTGGCCATTCCTTGTAGCCCATTTAGTATATGTAATGTAATTACTACTCTTCAAGTCTTTTTTACCAATTATTTTCTCAGTTTTGTCTTCAGGAGTTGAGAAGACAGTTCCCTGGCAGTCACAGAGTCAAGCGGCTAACTGGAATGAGATTCGAAGCCATGGAAAGGTAACTAAATCTTGTAAATAGTGTGATCCCATTTTAAAATGGCAAATATGGGGCTTACCTTTAGGTCCTTCTGCACCCCTGGCAACATTGTTGATTGTGCAAGATCTTTTGTTGCTCAGCTTCAGAGTGCTTCTCAGCATAAATCCTGGCAGTTACTCCCAGTAAGAAAGATTTGAGTGAGAATATAATCTATTTACCATCTGTGGTCTGGTGAAATGGGATCATGCTTCGGAGTAAATGTGGCTTTAAATCCTGGTTCGAGGATTTGTTAGCCATTTACCTAGCAAATTATTTAACTCTGAGCTTTTTCAGCCTTACTCTTCTGTAAAACAAGAATGTTACCAACTTCTCAGGGTTATTTTGGGAATCGGTAATGCTGTATGTGTGGGACAGTCACAGGCCTCAAGGTATAGAGGCCATTATTATTTATAGATATATAATTGACACGTAACAGTGTATTAGTTTCAGATAGTTAACATAATGATTTCATATATGTATAGTAAAATGATTACTGTAAATTTAGTTAACATCTGACATCACACAGATGTTAACAAATTTTTTTTCTTATGAGAGGTTTTAAGATCTTAGCAACTTTCAAATATACAAAACAATATTGTCAGCTGTAGTAACCATGCTTATATCCCCAGGACTTATTTTATAACTGGAAGGTTGTATCTTTTGAACCTTCACTCATTTCACCTACCCCTTATCCCTACATCTGGTAACCACCAATCTGCTTTCTGTATTTGTGAGTTCAGGTTCTTTTAATTCCACATATATGAGTCCTACAGTATTTTTTTTTCTGTCTGACTTATTATAATTCGCATAATGCTCTCAAGGTTTATCTAGGTTGTCATAAATGGTATGAGTTAATATCTCTGTTTTTTTCTAATAATATCTTTTACTTTTCAGTTATAATTGACATACAATATTACATTAGTTTCAAGTGTACAACATAGTAATTAGACATCTTTATACCTCACAAAGTGATCACTCAAATAACTAGTGCCCCTCTGATAAAGAATATATTCATAAAGAATATATTCAATAATTCTGTAGTAACCCTACATAGTTACTACAGAATTATTGAATATATTCTTTATGCTATTCTTTATATCTCCATGACTATTTTGTAACTACCCATTAATCCCTTCTCTTCTTTTTACCGACTCCCCCACCCCTTTCCATTTGGTAACCTTCAAAATGTTCTCTGTATCTATTATTTGTTTGTTTTTGTTCTTTGGAGTTCACATATATGTGAAATCATATGGCATATCTTTCTATCTGTCTGACTTACTCCACTCAGCACAGTACCCTCTAGGTCTATCATGAAATACTTTTTCCATCTATTTACTTTTAGTCTATGTGTGTCTTTTAATGTGAATGGCCTCTTGTAGGCAGCATATGTAAGGGTCTTATTTCTTAACCATTCAGCCATCCCGTCTTTTGATTGGAGCATTGAATTCTTTTTCATTTGAAGTACTTGTTGATAGATATGTAGTTATTGCCATTCTTTATTTATATTTTTGATATATATTTTTTCTTCTTAAGTCCCTCCAACATTTCCTGTAAATACTGAATTGGTGGTGATGAACTTCTTTAGCTTTTTCTTGTCTGGGAAGCTCTTTGTCCTTCAATTCAAAATGATAACTTTGATGGGTAAAGTAATCTTGGTTGTAAGTCCTTGCTTTTCATCACTTTAAATATTTTCTGCCAGTCCCTTCTAGCCTACAGTTTCTATTGAGAAATCGGCTGACAGTATTAAAGGAATCCCTTTAGGTAACTAATTGCTTTTCTCTTGCAGCTTTTAAGATTTTCTCTTTGTTTTTAACCTTTAGCATTTTAATTATATGTCTTGGTGTGGGCCTCTTTGGGTTCATCTTGTTTGGGGCTCTCTGTACTTATTGGGGTTGTATGTCTATTTCTTTAACCAGATTAGGGAAGTTTTCTGTCATTATTTCTTCAAATGGATTTTCAATCCTTGCTCTCCCTCTTCTCCTTCTAGAACCCCTGTGATGCAAATGTATTATGCTTGATGTTGTCCTCTAGGCTTCTTAAACTACCTTCATTTTTTTTGGATTCTTTTTTCTTGTCGCTGTTCTGATTGGGTGTCCTCCATTACCCCATCTTCTGTGTTGCCGATTCGATCCTCTGTTTCATCCATTCTGTTGATTCCCTCTAATGTACTCTTCATCTGATAGTATATTCTTCATTTCTGACCAGTTCCCGATTATGTCCTCCATCTCCATTTTGTTTTCTGTCTCTTTGTTAAAATTCTCACTGAGTTCATCTACTCTTCCCCTAAGTTTCTTGTGCATCGTTGTAACCAGTATTTTGAATTCTGCATATAGTATATTGCTTGTCTTCATTCTGGTGAATTCTTTTTCTAGAGCTTTGTTCTGTTTTTTTTTTCATGTGGGACATGCTTCTTTGTCTCACCATTTTGGCTGCTTCCCTGGGTCTGTTTCTAAGTATTAGGTCGGGTTCTTAAGTCTCCTGGTCTTAGTGGAGTGGCTTTATGTAATAGACTTGCTATCCTGGGAGGGGTCCAGCTGCAGGCCAAATTTATCCACTGTTTGTACACCTCTGGGGCCACCTGATAAGAGTCACAGAGCAATCCACAGATGGTCGCCACCTGTGCTAGGCTTATAGATGCCTTGATTGGCCAAGTCAGAAACCAAGGTCGGCTGCCACTAGAGCGGGGCTTGGGACTGCTCAGCAAGAGGTACAGGGCACAGTAAGGCCAGACGCTTCTCCTTTGGGTATTATGAGCCTTTGAGGTATTTTATGAAACTCCACAGCCAAAACAGCCCATTTGTATGGAATAAACCATTGGAAGCAGCTTGGGTGGGCCCACAAGTTCATATATAGCCTGGATATAAGTTTCTTATCAGATATATCATTTGCTAGAATTTTCTGGCATTCTGTAGGTTGTCATTTTCATTTGCTTAAAGGTGTTCTTTGATTACAGAAGTTTTTGATATTGTATGAAGTTCAGCTCATTTTGTTGTTGTTGATGTTGGTTGTACTTTGGTGTCACGTCTAGAAACCATTGCCTAATCCAGGGTCACAAAGATTATACCTGTCTTTTCATTCTTCTGATATTCAGTTGTCTCAACACCATTTCATGAAAAAACTGTGCTTTCCTTATTTGTTTTGGCACTCTTATTGAAAAGCAGTTGAATGTAAATGTGAGGATTGATTTCTGGGCTTTTAGTTCTATTTCATTGATCTATGTGTTTGTCATATACCACACCCATATTGATTCCACTCTCTATTGATATTATAGTTTTGTAGTAAGTTATGAAATTGAACAGTCTGAGTCCTTCAGCTTTTTTTCTTTTCAAGATTATTTTCTATTCTGAGTTCTTTGGATTTACATATGAATTTTAAAATCAGCTTATTACTTGTTACCTTTTTAGTTTGGTGTTTTAGGTAAGGCAGAGTTAACTTGTACCACGATGGTAGTAGTTTTTCTCAAGCCAGATGAATTAATAGAATTTTTCTCAACTCCTTTATTCCTTGGCTTATGTGTTTGTGTATGTGCAAATTTTAATCTCCTTAGATCTTCATCATAAGTAATCAAAGGGTATAGATAGAGGAAAATAAATAATATAGGTTAGCAGAAACTAATTTTGAACCAGAGGACAGAATGGAAGAAATTTGCAAAGGATTTCTCCTGAATCAGTCAGTGTTCTACTCTAATATCACTTTTTATTTTCTTTCAAGTAGTATGAATTCCTAGATCATTCTTAAAATATGTGAATAGCAAAACACATCTCATAGTCCAAGGTGAATGATTTTTAAAATTATGTTGTAAAGATTTGAGAAGTACTAGTTTCCAAAGCACACACATTTTAATAGTTAGTATTCCTCTACCCTGCTCCCAGCCATATAAAATAATTTGTTCTTAAGTATTAACTCAGGTTTTCTGAGAAACTCATTGAATTTAGACTTCCTTAAGCCTTATTCTTTAATTGAAATTCACATCACCATTTTACTTAGTAAAGTTTTACAGTTTTTATCTGAAAGAGTGGCTGTTATGTGTCTTTGTCACGTAGGACCGTTAGCCATCGATTCTCATACATAATTGAATAAATTGTGATAATCTGTGGCATTTTAAAAAATAAGTAGTTGCCTGGTCCTCACTTTACTGAGATCAATCTGTTAGGGATGTAATCCAGATTTTCTTTAAAAAAGCCCAATAGGTAATAGGTAAAGTATGAGAACATTGCTGACTGAAGGTAAATTTTTGTGGAACTTCAGTGTGTTAGGATTCTCTAGGGAAACAGAACCAGTAGGATATAGAACCTTGTGTGTGTGTGTGTGTGTGTGTGTGTGTGTGTGTGTGTGTGTGTGTTCAGAACCATATATAAATGGGAATTTACTATGAGGAATTGGCTCAGCTCAATTTTGGAAGCTTTGACGTCCCAGGGTCTGCCATCTGTAAGCTGGAGATCCAGGAAAGCTGGTGCTGTAATTCAGTCTGAGTCTGAGTCCAGGGCCTGAGAGCTAAGGGAGCCCATAGTATAAATCCAATCCCAGGGTGGGGGTTGATGAGATGAGATGTCCCAGCTCCACAGTGAGGCCTTAAAAAGGGTTGAATTCTTCCTTTCTCCACTTTTGTTCTATTCAGGTCCACATTGGGGAGGGCAATCTGTTTTACTGAGTTCATAGATTCAAATGCTAATCTCATCTTGAAACACCCTCAGACACACCCAGAAATAATGTTTAATCTGAGAACCCCATGGCCAGTCAAGTTGACACATAAAATCACAGTCAATTTTTACATAAATTATTATTTTTAATTATAGTATAACTTCAATATGTTCAAATATAAAACTAGGTATGAATGCCTTATGTGTATGATTTTTGTACAACTATGAAAACAATGAATGGTTTCATATCTTCTTATGTCTTTTCCGATATGTTTCCCAGAGGTTTTATCGTTGGAAAACGATTCTCAGGTGATTCTCATGTACTGTCTTGTGAGAAAATCTATTCCATAGAATTAATTTTGCCCTTATTTATATACTCGATAGTTTTGTTTTATTATTTAATGATTTTGATTCCCCATTTAGTTGCAGATTGTTATGACACTAGCATACCTATTACCATGTATTTAATGTTCAAACTAATTTTCTTTATTGAAGTATTGCTAAGTCTGATTGACTTGTGTGCAGGGATACTGTTTGTCCTTCACGTGGTATGGACACATTTACAAATTAAGTCTGCTTTTGTTTTTCCCAGTAGTCTTACAGGTAAAGTATTCATACTTGTCGGTGTTATCATAATCACAAATACAGGCATGGGCACTAAAATTGCAGGGCAGTGTTCAGTTAAAAGATGTGTCATCATGTTGATAAAGATATTCATATCTATCATTATGAGATATCTTTAGAGAATGTCATTAAGAGAAAAATATACATATTCATTAAAGGAAAATTTATACATAATCATTTCCTTGTGGATGTATTTGGTAAAATTAAACTTTTTCTTAAGTTTTATTGGCTGCAATTCTTGGTATAATAACTAAGACCACAAAAGTATTTCTTTGTGCTGCTAGTTTTTACTTTAATATTTAGGCCAAATTGAATCAGCATATATTTGAAGGAAGTATTTCTATATGTTACTTTTTTCCTTAAAAAAAAAAAATGACACTGTAGCAAACTCTACTGTTTATATATGAAGATAGGAAGAAACTACGCTTTTAAAGGTTAGATAGCAATTGTAAATGCATTTAAAGCTCTGTCAGTTTAATTTTTTTTTTGTATTTACTATTTGTCACTAAATTTTAAGGTCATGATTTTTGATGTTTATTTTTCTTTTTAAATAGATATGATGATGCTGTACAGCTATATGATCGAATTTTACATGAAGATCCAACTAACACTGTAAGTCAGCTGATTATCCTGAAGATCATCTAAAGTTTATTTCAAAAGGCAAAATCATTTCATTTTGGAAATAATGGAAAAACACATATGTTCTGTTTTCTTATTTTGACTATTTCATAATAGGCCATTTTTTAAAAATTAAGTTTATTGGAGTAGCATTGGTTAATACAATTATATAATTTTCAGGTGTACATTATAATTTGACATCTGTATATTCTATTGTGTGTTTACCACCCAAAGTCCGGTTTCCTTTAGCTACCATATATTTGGTCCCCTTTACCCACTTCACCCTACCCTCTACCCTCCAATATTTGACCCGCTTTATCCCGTCTACCTTCTCCCTCCTCCCCCACCTACCTGCCCTCTGGTAACCACTAGTTTATAGTCCATGTCCATGAGTCCCTGTTTATTTGTCCTGTTCATTTATTGCTTTTAGGTTTATATCTCACATATAAGTGATATCATGTAATTTTCAACTTTTTCTGTCTGGCTTATTTTGCTTAATATGATTATCTTGAGGTCCATCCATGTTGTCACAAATGGCAGTATTTCATCTCTTCTTATGGCTGTGTAATAGTCCATTGTATATATGTACCACAGCTTCTTTAGCCAGTCATCTATCGTAGGACATTTTGGTTGCTTCCATGTCCTGACCACTGTGAATAATGCTGCTGTGAACATCGGTGTGCAAATATCTTTTCAGATATGGGTTTTCAAGTCTTTGAGGTAAATACTCATTAGAGGGCTTGCTGGATCATGTGGTATGTCAATTCTTAGTTTTTTGAGGAACCTCCATACTGTTTTCCATAGTGGCTGTACCATTTTGCAGTCCCACCAGCAGTGTATGAGGGTTCCTTTTTCTCCACATTCTCTCCAACATTTGTTATTACTTGTCCAGTTGATTATAGCTATTTTAACAGGTGTGAGATGGTATCTTATTGTGGGTTTGATTTGCATTTCCCTAATAACTAGCGATGTTGAGCATCTTTTCAAATAATTGTTGGCCATTTGTATGTCCTCTAGGGAGAAGTGTCTGTTCTGGTCCTCTGATGAGCCATTTTAAAAAATAGATTTAAAACTTCATTAAAATTTCACTTATAAGATGTCTTATTAGAAAGAACTAGTGATTTGAAAAGAATTTTATGTGCTTGTATAAAAGCCTAGCAGACTCAGTGTTTTTATAATATTTTGTTGAAGTTTATGAAACAGGAACTTGACTTGTTTGCTTAATTATGTTTTAGTTGTCTTAATGAAAAATGAAAGTTATCTCAGTAATTAGTATATAGAGTTAATGAAGATATTTGGTTTTGGGTTTACTTTTTTCTGCCATATATATATATGTAAATAAATATATATAAATATCTTTAATTTACCCTGATTCTGAACAAATATTTATATTCGTTTATTGGACAGAATATTTGTTCCAAATATACTTATATAGTATTACTTATTTTAAAAATATCCTGGTGAAAAACAATTTTATTGCTGAAAACATTTTCATTTACTATTGGTATAATGGCCTTCTTTAGATTTACCTTTTACTAAATGAAAAGTAAAAGACTTTAGATAACATGTCAGCGTTTTAATGTTTTTGTTATTATGTCCATGCATACATATGCCTGCTAAAAGAAAAATATTTTTAGGGTTTTTTAAACACCAGTTTGAGTTTGTATTTTCCTCTTATAAAAGGACAAATTCTTATATTAACACATAATACATATGATGGTTTTCTCTTATTTGGCAAGTATTTCATTAAAAATCACATTTAAAAAATAATATGTGATTGTGGACTGTAAAATGCAGAAATGTTTAATAATTGAATGTCAGTAACTTGATTCATTTTAAATAAATTATTTATGCTAAGTTGGGAAATGATCTACTATTGAAGTCTGCAAATTCTAGAAAGCATTTATCCCATGCATTCACTGGTCATAAATCTCTGGTCTGTGCTTGCCTCTTTTGATATTCTACAATACTACTTATATAGTCTTTAAATAATAGTTTTTTCCAGCTTTATTTCGATATAATTGACCAGTAATATAATGTAAGTTTAAATTATACAGTGTAGTGATTTGACATATCTATATATAGTGAAATGGTTTAGATTTGAGCTTTTAATATTATCCCATCCCAGGGAAACATCCTAGGTTTTTTTTTTTTTTTTTTTTTTTTTTTGAGTTTTTTTTATTGTAGGTATTTTTTTTTTTGGCAGATATTTGAATGGCAAGGATTTATTATTTTGTGAAGATTTTCAAAATATAGAAAATTCAGGGAAAAGTTTTGGCAGAGCTGCAATCTTACCTGTTATAAAAAACAAATATAAGAAACAGCTTTTATTAGTTTTTCCTAGATAATCCCAATAAGAAGAAAGCTAAAATTAGAAAGTTTTGAGTAATTTCCTAATCTTAACTATCCTAATGTCTTAATAAAATAATACCTTATAAAAACCACCATTTTTCTTTTCTTGAAGATTTTCTTATACAGTTAATTCAAAAGTATTCAAAAGTATTGGTTTTTCAATACTTTTTTAAAAAAAGTATTCATTTTTCACGCAGCAGTATATTGAAAAAGTGAAATCACATTTCTGAGAAAAATTTGATCTTCATATATTTTTCTCATGCTAGGCTAAGAACCAATAGTTTGTACTTTATTTTCTGGGAATTGAGAGTCAAGCATTTTACTTTTGTGTCAGTTTAAGTTGATATTTTAAATAAATTAGTTTACTCTTTCAAGATCTAAAATAATATGGAACTAAATATTGTTCAGTTTTTGTAGTACTTTCTACGTTTTATGGCTTTAAGACTGGCTGAAAGAAAAATCCAGCTGGCCTCCCCACCCCCATAGCCAGTGTATGAAGTGGGAGTAACTAAATCCCTTCCATGTTAGGTAAACATTTAGAACAAGGTGACTAAATTCAGCTTTGCTAAATATGTGATTCTTTCATCAAATATTATCTTTATCTAATCTCTCCTCAGTCCCTCCTGTTCTGTCTTTCTGTAAATGTTTATTGAGTATATTTCATGAGATACCAAAGTGTTGGTGTTACTAAGAACAAAGACACTGTCTCTGTTACTGTATCCACAGAAGGCACTGTGGTGGACACTGAGGGA